ATTTTTCAAAAATGTTATTTTACCATTTTTTTCTTATGCTCTAAACAATGTAATGACATGAAAAAATACTAAATTCACAAAGCTTTTTATTTCTGGTTCTCAGGAGGATATATATATATTTTTTAATAATTACAGTCTTGCTCGAGAACTCCGGTCTGACGCACACGGGTTCTCGCGTTATTTCCGTATCACTTCTCGGACCAGACAGAGCTGTCGGCGATTCTTCCTATTGTAAAGTCATGCAGTGTGTAACCCTCTTTCGCCGATCCATCGTGCAATGTGAACACCGCAGCAACTGAATGCTACCCCAGATAGTCACGCAGTGTGAAAACACCGGCGATCCGACGACTTTGACAATCGTGCAGCGTGAACTCGGCATAAGGCAGCAGCTCGCGCCGCCACGTCATCTTAAAGCTGATTGGCTGTGTTGTGAATGCGGAAGTGAGTCAGTGTTTGTGTGAATCAGGGTAGCTTGAGCTCAACGGAATACAAATGCGCTCATTGTTGTATATTCTCATAATAACATAAAAAAAACATCTTAAAGGCGTTTTAGTATGGAGGCGCAAGATGGTGCGCGTGTCCGAAATGAAGATGTTCCTCCTCAGAACCAGGATCTGAGTTTTCTGCTGCCAGCTGGTATGTAAACATGAGTGCACTGCGTTTACTCGCATCTCTATTAATGATATCGAATCTGTGACTGGCTTATTAAAGGACAATAGAAACACTAATTTGATCTTTTAGAGCGCAGTAATGCGGGTCTGATCAGCAAATGACTAGAACACACCGAACGCTTTATAGCTCAATACGATTAGTTACACTGTACAGTTTGTGAGGCAATAAGACACATTAGTTACACTGTCTTATCTTTAACAAGCCATTATCAAACATGAAACCGTGCTTAATGGATCAGTAAATGAGCAGTCCTCTTTTTGTTTGAAAAGTAATTCTTTTCGATATTTTGGCTGATGCAATGTTTTTCTGGCATTTCAGGAGATTTAGGGATTTTAAAATATTTTCCATAACATACAAACTTTAATATTTTCATTCAATTTGAAGCACATTGTATACTTTTAATTTTAAAACATTATTAGCATATTAAAAACAAATTAGCATATTTCATGGTATTTATAAAAGTTGTTAAACATAGTGTAATGAGAAATACAGCAAAGATAAATAAGTAGATTCTTATCTGTCTATTATTCATTTTAATAATAATTTGTATTTATTATTTGATTATTCAGCCAATTGATTTTTAACTTTTGTAGTGTTTCACATCTGCTAAATGAGTAATACACACACACACACACACACACACACATATATATATATGTATTATTAAAGCTTCATGACATTTTTGACTAATGGAATGTTTCATAATGTCTTATAATATTAATATTATTATAATAGTTAATAATACAGTAATATAATAATAATATATATATAGATATATATTTATAATTTTTAGTGCTGTCAAACGATTAATCGCGATTAAACGCATCCAAAATAAACGTTTTTGTTTACATATGTGTGTGCATTGTGTATATTTATTATGTATATATAAATACACACACATGCAGCATATATTTTTATATATTTATATTCATATAATTTATATCATATATATATTTAATATATAAATGTAACATATTTTTTCTTAAGTATACACATGAATGTGTATGTATTGACATAATAAATACACACATATATATTTGTAAACAAAAACTACTTTTATTTTGGATGCGATTAATTGTTTGACAGCACTAATAAATTGATATAATATATAATGATATTTTCGACTATTTGAATGTTTCATAATGTAATATTTATGCTATTCATTAAATTTGTTACTGATACAGTTACCAACAATAATCAATTGTATTGCAGTCTATTTATCATGCTTTCATAAAGTGCATATAGATTTTGCAGTGCCTGGATTGTGAAAGTGTGATATTTTTTGTCACCAGTGACAGCTTTCCTGTCCGAGTATGGCTGGTATGCGGCGTTCACGTGTGTGGGAGTGTATCTGCTCCTCCAGCATCTCCGCAAGAACAGATCCACAGACAGCCAGAGCTCGCCCGTCTCCACCAGCAGCCAAGGTCAGAACCCACAGTGACTGCTGTCTGCAGACTGAGGTGTTAAGAGATGTGTGTGTGTGTGTGTGTGTAATAGCAGAGGTGTGCGTGTGTGTGTCCCGTCTGCAGACCCGGACTCCGTGGTGAGGCGTCAGGTGGCTCTGGAGGCGTCCCGCAGGAGAATGCAGGAGGAGCAGGACGCTCGAGCGGCAGAGCTCAGAGAGAGGCAGCAGAGGGTGAGTGTCACGCTGCAGGCCACGGCCGTTTGTCTTTCTGTACTCATGCTGCTTCCTCTCATCTGTTTAGTTGGAGGAGGACAAGAGAAGACAGAAAATTGAGATGTGGGATAGCATGAAGGAGGGAAAGAGTTACAAGGGAAAGGCACAAGTGAGTCTCCCGTGACTAATGTCTCCAGGCCTCGGGCGTCAGGTGCTGTGTTTACATATTATTTCTCATTTCCAGCAGAGCACAGAAGAGGCCACTTCCTCCAGCTCACTGAGACCAAAGACAGACAAAAAGCCCCTTCGCAACAGTGGTACGCAAGCGTTACATTTGCTCTTGTGATTATACTAATGGTTAACTCCATTAAAATTTGTTTTCATTTTTTTGGTGGTCATTTCTATAATTATACAAAATTAATTACATGAAATACAGTACAAATATAGAATGAAAATATGAAAAATAAAGCAGGTTTTATGCTTTTAATTTCAAAGTATAAATCTATATTTTAGTGAATGAAAACTCTATTAAAATGAAAATTTTCATGATTTACTCGCGCTCATGTCATTCCAGTCCTGTATGACTTTGTAAATGAGGCAATCATTCTCAGTTTTTGAGTGCATTAACCCAATAAATCAACCTATTTTACACTTTTAGTCTAATATTTCACAGGGGACAATTATTCTGGTTGTTCATTTATATTGCAGTGGTATTCATTCCTGTTTCTTGTGTTTTAAAACACTTTTGGTTGTTTGCTTCTATAACTATAGAAAATGAAATAAAGAAGATACAGTACAAAAAAAAAAATATATATATATATAAAAAAAATGAAAAAATTGCAATGATTTACTCTCCTTCGTGTCATTCCAAACCTGTAAGACTTTCTAAATGATGCAAACATTTTTTGAGGTCACTAACCCAAATAATAATAACCCATTTTTCAGATTAGGCCAATATTTCACAGGAGAAAATTATCCTGGTTGTCAGTTGATATTGCAGTGATATTTAAATATGAACGTTTCTTTGTGTTTTAAAACAATATTGCCAAATAAATATGAAATTAGATATGTATGATTATATAGGAGTATTATGAGGTTTTAATTTAATCATATATATATATATATATATATATATATATATATATATATATATATACACACACACATACACACAGGTGCATCTAAAAAAAATTAGAATATTGTGAAAGTTTTTTTTGTGTAACTTTCATATATTCTAGATTCATTACGTGTGTGTGTGTGTTGTAGGATACAGTCCTCTGTCTGGAGACGGAGGAGGAACGTGCTCCTGGAGACCCGGCAGGAGAGGCCCGTCTGCAGGTGGATGAGGTTAAAGTGCGGTCAGACTGACCTCTGACCCTCCATAGGAACACACAAATATTATCTGAATGAAGCTATCATTCTCTCATCACAGGACAATAGCAAATATGGTTATATTACATAAGGGTCTTCATGCACACTTTCATGTTTTTCTGGTGACAGGCTAATCGACTTGTGCATTGTCTTTTTACACACACTCATGTCGTTCCAATCCTGTATGCGGTTATTTTTTTCAGTGCAATAGTTTTTTCAGTAATCTTTTTTTGGTGCATTTGCAGGCAGAATGACATGAGTGTGAGTCGAGGACAAAATGTGTATTTTTGACTGTTCTTTTAACTTGTGTGTTTTAAACACTTTCATGCACATTATGATTAAGACGCTATTGCCTGTTTGTATGATTGACAGCTTCTAATGACGCCTCCTCATCAAAGGTATTAATACTCCTGGGGCGGGCTGATGATTTTCAGTAATAATCGTGTTCCTGTTTTTATCTTTTTGCACTTATGAAGGCTGGGCTAAATAAACACCTAGAGAGAGTAAATACAAATGCTAAGTTTATATCATTGAAATGTTTGTATTCTGTTGTAAAAGCAGGTTTGTGACAGATCCATCGATGCTGTGGTTAGTGATGTATAATAGCAGCCTGCTGTATGTGGTGTGAGGTCTTTGCTGTTTCCTTTGGAATGACGTGTCAAAGGCATTGTATTGTTCTCGCTTTATAGTTTCTCAGAATAAAAATGCATACTTACTCAATGTTTGTCTTATTTGTCAGGCCAACACAATTCACTGTATTATCCTCAGTTTCAGGACCATCAAAGTAACAATGTATACTTTTTAATGCATAGGAAATAGCAAAGTGCTTTTTAGGACATAAAGGAAAAACTTTTTTTTTCTAAACACATTACAGATTTGTAGTATTTCATGATAGCAGGGTTATAGTTAACTAATACCATAAAAAAACATTTTCAATAACGAACTTTAAAAATAACATCAGAAATAATATGAAAAATAAAAACTTTTTTTTGAAGCAATAAAATAATAAAAAGGAGCAAATGTATTAAAATTAATAAAACTATATTAATAAATTATTAATCATTTATATATAAAATATATACTAATAAAAACTAAACATCTTTAAAAAAAAGAATAAAAGTGACAAAAACGAAATATATATATATATCTATATAAACAATATTATCTTGATACTAAAATAACATAAAAGTAATTCAGCAGAAGAAGGCAAAAATAAAATAAAATTCACCCTAATGCTCAGTTAATTATGACATCGTAATAAAAACAATAAAGTAATATATCCATATTGTCTGTTTAATATGTTATCCATATGCGTTGCGACATGAAAACACTGCAGAAGAGGAAGGACCCGACTAAAATACAAACTATAATCTCGCGAGGACACACTTTATCCACAAGGTGGCGAGATTAGCACGTGATTTACAACATAACGGTTTCCGTCGCAGTTCTATAAAAGGGAGGAATTCCGTTACAAAACTATAGAATTAGGATTAGGACATCATTATCTGACTATTAAATAGGAAATATAAATATATCATTATCATATTACATTGAATTAAAAAATATATATTGAATTTTACATAAAAAAGCTGAGCGTGATCTGATTAAACTTATCTTATTGCAGTATCCAAATATAATGTAATAATATAATAATATGGTGAGAAAATATTTAAATAAGCCTCGAGGTGATTGCTAGATTTTGTTAATAATTAAAATAAATATTATAGC